GACCTATCAAAATTACACCTGACTTCTCTATGGAAGTCAGAAAGTTTGAGATAATTATTCTACAAAGAGTAAGACACCACAGATGCCAACCCAGACTACGATACCCAGAAAAGCTTTCAGTCACTATAGATGGAGAAAAAAAGCTATTCCATGATAAAACCAGATTAAAGCAATACATGTCTACTAATCTAGCCCTACAGAAAGTACTGGAATGAAACTTGAATTAAAGGAAGTTAACTACACTAACAAAAACAAAGGAAAAAGATAATCTCACTTAACAAAAGCCAAAACAAAAAGCAGGGTAAATCCACACACACAATACCACCACCAACAACAAATCCAAAATAAATAAGAATTAACACTTAATGGTCCTTAATATCCTTCAATATTAATGGTTTTAACTCACCTATAAAATGACATAGGCTAACAGAATGGATATAAAGACAGAATCCATCCCTCTCCTGCATACAAGAAACATACCTCAACTTCAAAGACAGATGTTACCTCAGAGTAAAGGGTTGGGATAAGACTTTCCAATCAAATGAACCCAAGAAACAAGTTTGTATAGCTATCCTAATATCTAACAAATTAGATTTCACACTAAAATAAATCAAAAGAGATGAAGATGGTCATTTCATATTCATCACAGGAAAAATCTATCAAAGTGAAGTCTCTATTATGAACATCTATGCCCCAAATACAAAGGCATTCACATTCGTAAAAGAAACATTACTAAAACTCAAATCACACATAAAACCTCACACACTTATAGTGGGAGACTTCAACACCCAGCTCTCATCACTAGACAGAACCACCAGACAGAAACTTAACAAAGAAACAAAAGAACTAACAGAAGTTATGACCCAATTGGGTTTAACAGACATCTATAGAATACAAAAGAATATCTCTTCTGCTCAGCTCCACATGGAACATTCTCAAAAATCAACCACATACTTGGCAACATAGAAAATATCAACAGGTACAAAAAATTGGAATAACTCCATATATCTTATCAGACCACCATGTTTTAAAGTTAGAATTCAACAACAACACAAATTGCAAAAACCCTACAAACTCATGGAAATTGAATAATGAGCAGTTGCGAAGGGATAATGGGGTTTGGCAGGAGGGCATGGGAGGAGGGGAGGGAAAGTGAGAGGGACATGGAACTGAGTTGTGAAGCAATCTTGTTTCTTATCTAAATTTAAACTGAAAAATAAATAAAGAAAAAAAATAAAAAGCAAAAAAAATAGTGTGGGCAGGCCTTGGCCCAAGTGATGAAGTAGCAGGTAGGACTGGGATAGCATGCTCGTGGGTACTTCAAGAGAAAAGGAGGAACTGGGCAGAACCCAGTTCAATGAGAGGGTTAGGGGCCAGGATTGTTCTCCTTTCAATGTTCCCAGTCCCTGTCTGTTTTCCCATAGGATCCCAGATCTTATTGGGCAGTGTCAATGAGTAGCTACGCTGGGTAGGAGAAACAGAGCACATAGTGAATAGGAGCAAGCGTTCTATTTTTTAATTTGAAAACTTTATTTAAAACAATTGACTTTTTAAGCATTATAAATATTTTCCTTTACCAAAAAGAATTGCATTTGCCAAAGACCTTAATGGGTGGAACTGATGATCGATGCTGACACCTTTCCCCTTCATAATAAAAAACAGCAATTTATAAACACTCCAAATGCTTTTTGGATTGGACATTTGAAACAACGTGTAAACTATATTTCTCATTCTCTGTTGAATGCTTTTATAGTGTGTACTTTAAATAGAAGCAAATGCTTGCATTCAAATGCATGGTTTAAAAGATACTTGTAACAGCAGCATTCAAATTTAACGATGGAAAAACAATAGGATTAATTTGAGGAATGTCTAATGAACACATTTTCTTCAAATTTTCATCAGGTGGAAGATCTACATTTCACCATTGATTTCCAATTTTCCAAAGGAAGTACACATAGAATTCAACAAATTATCACCAGCACAGAACAATGAAATGCACTGGGCTTATCTGGTGTTTCAAAGTTTCATATTCACAATTCACTTTTTAAAAAATTTTTGGTTCTTTTAAAGACAGGATTTCTCTGTATTGTTTTGGAGGCTGTCCTGGATAGGACAGGTGATTTCAAAAGGTTTGAAGAAAAATGAAAATATTATATTTTTATGATTTGTTTTGTTTTGTTTTTATGAGACAGGGTTTCTCTGTATTGTTTTTGAGGGTGTTGGTCCAGCCCAGCCTCGAACTCACATAGATCTGCCTGCCTCTGCCTCCAGAATGCTGGTGTTAAAGGCATGCACAACCAACGCCTGGCTGAAAATATTACATTTTTCAATAGTGGCAGACAAATTCACCTAGAAAGGGATTGTAAAAAGGTTGTTTCAACAACAATACTTTTTAAATATATATATTCCAAACAGAATCTCCCTCTGTTCTAGATTATACAAAAACTGTGGCTTTGGTCAAATTATTGTAGGTAGACTAGGGATTATCAAGATAATCCTTTGTGTTGAGTGAAATACCCTGAGGGACTTCTTTTTTTTATGGTTTTTTTATTTTTTTATTTTTTTTCCATAACAAGAAATGAAAACTTTTTAGAATTGAGTGAAAATGAAAACACAATACATCCAACTTATGGGACATATGAACACAGTTCTACAAGGCAATTTCACATCAATAAGTGTCTACATAAAAAATCGGATAGCTCTCACATTAGCAACTTAGTGGCACACCTAAATGTTCTAGAACAAAAAGAAAAAACTGGTATCCAAAGAGAGTAAATGGCAAGAAATAATAAACTCAGGAATGAAATCAATGAAATGCAAACAAACAAACAAAAGTAAGAAAAAAATCAATGAGGAGTTGACTATTTAAGAAAAATATGTAAGATGAACACTTAGCCAAATTAACAAAAAGAAAAAGACTATCCAAATTAACAACAACAGAGGTGAAAATAGGAATATTAAAATAGGTACTTATGAAATCTAGAGAACCAAAAGAACTTGAAAACCAAAACAAAAGGATGAATTTACTGATATTTATGAGCTACCAAAGTTAAGTCAAGATCAAATAAACAATTTAAACAGACTCATAAATTTGAATGAAATGGAAGCAGTAATTAAAAGTCTACCAATCTTCAACAACAACAGCAAAAATCACCCAGGGACAGATGTATTCAGAGTGGAAATCTACCAGACCTTCAAAGAAGATCTAACATCAGTCCTCACATTATTCAGATTATTCACAAAATAGGAACTGAAGAAACATTTCCCAATTCTTTTTATGAGTCCACTATTACCCTATTACAGTATTATACAAAGTTCCAACCAAAAAATTATAGAGCAATATCCCTTATGAACATAGATGCAAAATTCTTCCTTCCTTTCATTCCTTCCTTCCTTTCATTCCTTCCTTGCTTTAATTCCTTCCTTCCTTCCTTTCTTCCTGAGGGACTTCTATAAAAGCCCTATGCCAAAACCTTTCTTGCCACTATGGATGAAAGTCCTTACCAGAACTGTAGGCATTTCAGGCGAATTGGATGGGACAGGTATTCTGGCACTCAGGAGACACAGAATACTGAGTGACCCACAGCTTAGATTGAAAGGTATCCTGGAGCTCGGGAGCCAAGTAATACCACAGCCCGCAGTAAGCATAGCAGCTTGCAGCCCTGCCTTAGGGAAAGGCTTCCCCAGTGTATAGGTTCTGTTTAAGTTTAGCAGTTTTGATGCAGCAGGAAGAATCCTGTCAAAGTTACTAGTATTGAGATTAAAGGCATGGGATGTGATACTCTTTTAAACTGATTCAGTTTTATGCATCCCCGGGAAGCCTTGAACTCAGAGAGATCTGTCTACCTCTTTATCCAGAGCCCGAGGATTAACGGTGTGTTCCACCACCTCCTAGCTTCTGACTACTTAGATTAAAGTTTGTGCTTGGCTTCCATGGCTTGTGGCAGGACTTAACAATTCATAAATAATATATCAGCCTAGAAAATGTTTAAGTAATGAATTCATTATGAAGTATACATGCATACCAATGGTTATATGCAGCATACACATACAAATGTACAGTAGATTACAGATAAAAGTAAATAGAACAAAATCAATGCCCATTTGCATGCATCCTTCATCAAATTTTCCTTTTCAAAGACTCTATCCACTATTTTTCTATTTACAAAACTGACCAAGAAGAATCCATGATTGGATTCAAGATTGAAATGCCACTAGCAAAGTTATATGAGTATTACAAGGCACAATGGATTGATAGCCATAAAGCCGTTGTACATAAACCTGTAGTTCTTCACCTCACAAAAGCAAGACAGAACCAACTTAGAGAACTAAAAGACTCGTCCAATCTTCTGACCTGGCTATATCTCCCAGAAAAGATACTGCTTGAATACAAAAGAGTGATAAATGGTCTTCCTGCAAAATCCAGAGTTGACTTCTATAAGGGACACAAAACATGATGGTAGATGATCGAGTATATTTTGTGTTTCGTTGCTTTTTTTGAACAAAGCAAATAATTTAGGAGTCAGGACTAATGTCTGCCTTTACAAACCTAGGGAAAGTATGAGTCAGTAAGATTGCTTTGGATGTAATGTCACGATGTACTGCAAATGCCTGGTATCAACAAGTGAACATATTTCCTAATTTCTGATTTATTCAGTCTCCTTCCCATTGTCAATACACTTTACATGGTGAAGTTCTTCAAAGCTGTTTAATTCATTGTTTCTTCATATCCAGAAAAATGTCATCCTGTTTTAAAAAATCTTTGGTGCAGTTTTTCTACATATTATCAATTATCCATGAGACGTTATGTAATAAACCTGCATGTAGACTGTAAAAAACATTATGCTTAAGTATAACGATCCAAGGATGAAAACATATTCTATAAATGAGTAAAAGCAAAAGACAAAATTGATCAAATCCAGACCATCAGTGAGATATTGAAAAATACAAATGGTTAAAATATTTTGTCACTTTAGGATACTTGGGACTGTGGGGATTTGAAGGAATTTTCCTCTGGGAAGATAGAATTCTGGAAGATCAAGGTCACCCTGAGCTACAAGCTTTGATCCTTTGGAAAGGAAACAGAGCTCACACAAAGGTAATCTCTGCACCTGGAATCCCACACCTTTAATCCCATCACTAGAAAGGAATATATGGAAGGAGAAATCAGGTGCTCAGGACAGTCTGCATCAGTCTGAAGAGCAGTGAAATTGGGAGCAGTATAGAATAGTTGGATGACCCCTTCCTTTTGACCATTGACTGAGGTGAGAATTCTCTGGCCCCTTGACACATTTCTCCTCTGATTATCAGATTTAACCCCAATATCTCTCTTGTGTTTTCATTATTTGTGTTACATATGTGTCCTAAAGTTTAGTTGTGGAGGAATTCACACAGTGTCTATCTGCATTTTCTTGATTCCATTCTATTTACAAACACCCATTAAGATATGCATCATATGAAATTTCTTTAGTGTTGTTCTTGGGTTGGTAGTGTGCTTCTCTGGTATGTGGTACATGCAAGAAGATGTTCATAAATTGGAAATATGCTTCGGATTTGTCTCCAAGGCAATCAAGAACTTTATGTCTCGTAGTTTCTGTGCATGAAACAATCTCCTAGTTTAATTGCCATACTAACAGAAAAAGTTCAGGTTGATATTGAGAGAATAGTGGAAATAATCCGAAAAAGAAAAGAGGGTTCTAGAGTGGTGTCTCAGTCCTTAAGTGTGCCGAAAAATATCCTAATTCCCAAATATTTGAAGATTTTTCCTGGCTTTTGTGGGTAACTGGTTACATTACATAAAAAAACAGGTGAAATATTTCAAACCAAAAAACTTAAAAAATATTTTTGTAAAGAAAAGGTCTGTCACAGGGCAGTAGTTTCTCATGTTTCTCACCCAGCAATTGAGACGAAGGTGTTTCTCTGTAGTTCCAGGCCAAATTGGTTAAGTCCAAGATAGGCAGAAATGACACACAGAGAAACAAGGATTTTTTAAATTTTATTTTCCAGTTTAAATTTAGATAAGAAACAAGGTTGCTTCACAAGTCAGTTCCAGGTCTCTCACCCATTCCCTCCCTTCCTCCCGTGCCCTCCCCCCCGTTATCCCCTCATTTCCCCAGGGAGGGTGAGGCCCTCCATGGGGGTGTGCATAGTCTGTCATTTCATATAGGGCAGGGCCTAGACCCTTCCCCAAGAGTTCAGGGTGAGAGTGCACCTCACATTGTTCTATGGGAGTGCAAAGTCCGTGTGTATACTTGGGATGGGTACTGATCTGCTGCCATAGGCTCAATAGATTCCCTAGGCCTCTTCACTGACACCCAGTTTCAGGGGGTCTTGATCAGTCCCATGCTGGCTTCCCAGGCTGATGCCTGGGATTCAAGAGAGAAACAAGGATTTTACACAGAGAAAAACCTGTCAAAAGAACCTGAAAAAATGAGAAAATTCCATAATTCTGTTGACTATAAATCAGGAATCATGAGCGATATGATGAAAACAGTGATATTTTTTCAGCATCCCACATCAAAAAGGCTGCTCTCAAGTTTGATTAGTTGCTTTAAACAACCTTGACCTTTGCCTACTCCCCTGATAAACTCAGGGGAGGTGAATCCATTTTAATTGAATAAATACTTTTAAATCTTGGATTGTTGATAGTACATGTTAAACAATTTTACTGTTTGGAATGCAAAAACGAATTAGTATATATTTCTGATGCATCCACATGCATACGTACATACATAAAACAACCAGTGGAAAAGCAAAAACATACTTGTTCAGATCAGGGTGGGCAAGATAATTCAGTCACACTTGATTGCATTATGTTGTGTCTTTAAAATACATGGGTAGTTGAGGAGTATAAAGCTAGGTAAGATTGTGAGGATGCCTCTTCGGTCATTAAGGAAGGAGCCGTGAATTTATAGTATTCTTTGCTGTTGGGGCAGATTACTAAACAGTTGTTAACAAGAAAGACACCTTTATAAATTCCTATAGGAAAACATAATTTCGCAAAAACATTTTCAAAAGATATCATTGTAGGGGATCAATTTCTGGTAAGGGATGTCTAGCAAAAACCTCAGGAAAAATTCTTGTTAAAATGAACAGAAAACTTTATTTCCTCTAGCAAGAAAAATACGCTATAAAACTCTCCAAGTGGCAGCAACCACTGAACACCAATATTCAAATATCTGAGAAAATATGTGTAGGCTGATTCTAATGCACAATGCAGATTCTAAACACAAAAATTTCTCTATACTATTATTGTTTTAAACTAGGTATCTGGAAGAAAATCACAGGTTGAATCATATAAGTTGGAGGATTCTGAACTATAGAATTTCTTTGACGCTCATATAAGGAATTGCTTACCCAGAGTACCAAAGGGTAAAATCTAAGGGTCCTGGTTAAGCTGTCTCTATCTGTGTTTTGCTGGCAGTGCTGAGGCTAGTAAAGGAACATTTGTGTTTTTGACTTCCTATGTTTCACCCACATTAGTGTCATATAGATATCAAGGACAGTGTTAATAGATGAATGATGAGGAGATGAGCTACTGAATGAAGATAGCTGATAGGTTAACACTGGGCAGATTTCATTGATAAGTAGAAAATAATGTGATTTGTTTTCTAACACTACAGGGAAACTGAGTCTCTGGAAGGGCCCAACAAAAATGGATCCAAACAAACTTTCAATGGAAGAGGGCAAGGAATTCTTAAAACTGTGTGGGATCCCACAAAGAGATGTAAGTATGGGCAAGGTTGGTTAAAAGAGGTTACATGGAGTGAGGTAGAGTACGATTTTCAGTTTCCTTTAAACAGCAACATAACCCATGTCCTAAGTGTATACAAATGTATTTTCAGGAAATAAGGCAGGCACAGTAACTGCAACAGTGGTCATTTCCCCAAGGGAACATTTCTACTAACTCCAAACTCACCTTTTAAACTCTCATTATTTGAAAAGTACTTGCTAATTTGCAGTCTAATCTAGTGGGAATGATTTCAGACTTTTGAACCTAAAAGATAGAAGTAACTAGAAAACTGTTTATATTCTCCAGGAAAGACTTCTTCCCACCATGAAACACCAAATAATTTTCACTTTCTTTTCCTCAGATCGATTTGATGACAGAGAAATGGGAAGTTGTTGCCTCTGTGGAGGCTTTGATTCGATTCCCACTGCTGCCAGGGGAAGACCCCACAGCCCGTTGCATTTCGAGGAAAAACAGTCAACCTGCAGTGTCCCAACGAGACCGGATTCCACAAAATAATGAAGACCAAGAAAAGAGGTAGGAAGTCACTTAAGTTGGGAGGGACCTCGGGAAAACAGCTGCCTATGGCATGTAGTTGAGTACCACTATTTTATCTTTGCATGAATAAAGGTTTTTCATTGATGAGTGATCTTGTTTTCATAAAGTGCAGATGAAACTACTGTTTTTTAATCAGGAATTATGTCAATCTTAGCTACATACTCTCACCAGACAAGATTGCTTTTTCATTATTTGAGACATACATTTTGGTAAATAGAACTCTATCACTGAGTAAGCCTTGGAACTTGAAATCACATTGTCATAAGATTCCTAATATTTGAGATTACAGGTCTGTGTCATCTGGCATATGTCCTTCTGGATCTATTTGTTAACTGTTTGGTATAAATTGCACAGTATTTTAGCTTACATATTCATCCTCAGCTTGGTTGTCCAGGCAAGTGTTGGTGTAATAATCTACGTGAAGATAAGTATATGGTTATGTGTTTCTTTTCTTTTTTTCGGTTTTTCGAGGCAGGGCTTTGCTGTAATTTTTTAGACTATCCTGGACCTCGTTAGGTAGACCGGGCTTTGTCTTAAACTCACAGATATCCACCTGCCTCTGCCTCCCAAGTGCTGGGATTAAAGGCATGTGCCATCACAGCCTGGCTGTTTATATGTTTCTGATTGTGAAGCTTAACTGTATTTACAAGTAACCCAACTGAGACTCACAATGCATAGATGGGGCTTATGGGTGTAAAAGTAAACAGAAAATTATTATCAGCAATTATGCCGAAAAAATAAATTTGCTTGACTGTTTATTTGTTTGAGAAATAGTCTGATCAACAGCTACTTAGATGCTGGTATGGTGGTGTATGCCTCTATTGAGAGTATTTATAATTGAGAAAGAAATAGATTTTGGTAATTCATATCTACAACCAACATTACAGCCCAGTTGACACTAATCAAATGTAACTTAAAAAAAGAACAGGGTTTAGAGAGAAGGTAAAATGGCTGAAAGCAGTGACTACTTTTGAAGAGTGTCCACTTTCTCTTTACTGCACACAAACAGCATTTCTACTTCCTCCCCCAGGGTACTGAACACAGTCATCTGACCTCTGTAGACATCAGGCAAAAACATGGTTCAGACTCATGTTAGGAGTCGGCAAGCTTAAATCTACGTTAGAAAATATAATCTTAAAAGCAAAGAAAAAACAAATTAAAAATAGTAGGAAGCAAGCAATTTTGTGTAAGAAACGAAACTGGGAGGAAAATCAGGGGAAAAATCATTACAAAATGTAGTGTATGCACACATACACAACAATTTCACTCCTATTAAGTCAGATGGTATTTTCTCAGTAGATTCACAGTAGGCTAAATGTGAGATTCTGGGAACAGGGATATCAGGTCTGAGTGTTCCAAAGTATGGTGTGTTTGACACTAGTTAGGAAATCACTCTAAATTCTGCATCCTAAATTATAGACCAAACACATATCCATGTGATTTCTCTTTCCTTATCCCATAACTAGGAAGAACAATAATCAATCACTGAAAGATTTTGACAAGAAGCCACATGTTACAAAGGTGATGACAAGGCATTGCATAGAAACTCCTTCTGAAAGACCCACTGGAGAAAAGATTCAGAAGATAAACTGCTTTGGAGCAGTGAGAAAAAGGACTAAGCCCGAAGAGGAGAAAGAAACAACGGTAAGTGCATCTGGAATGTTGGGAAACGTTTGTACTATGTATACTTTAGAAAGTGTATTTAAGCATTTTGCTGTGTGTCTATAACTTACTTTCTCTAATAGAAGCTATGTAATCTGGGCAGTCCTCTTCTCTCAACTTATTGTCCAATGAGAGCATCTGATATGCTCCCTTGTACATGCTCAATATCATGAGTAGCCTGATATTTGCCCAGATTACCGTCTGCGCGTTTTGAATGGCATATATTTACCTATGCACTCAATGCTGAATGAGCTAGGAACTTAGTGCCTCATGCATTCTAAGCATGAGTGTTTTGCTTAAGCAAAACCCAGAATTTACTGATGTATTCTTGTAATGCTCACTACCAATTACCTTTTCATAGATTGGAGAATTTTATCCAATTGCTCTACACTTGAACTGTATCACCAACCTTCATTTTAATTTTGGCATTTAGGCCCCATGTCTCCAGCTTTCACTGGTTGACCTGAATCTACCTGAGTGGACAAAGTTTTATTTAAACACATGTTCCTCTCACTGGATAGTTCTGAGTGCTATTTTCAATGTTGGGAGGCACACTATGCTAGCCACAGTAATTATTTATAATCACATTTACTTACATGTGCAATACTGTAAGCAATGTGCCCTGTGAATGAGTGCAGAATTCCTGTCATACTTGGCAGATAAGGGAGTACAATTTGAGGCTGTATCCTACAAGAAATTTTGAATAACACTGAAAGATTTTGTAGGAATTGATAATTATGTCACATTGTATCTAACCCTATATGGACTCTTCCGTCAACACAGGTAAAAAGCAAGAAATGTTGCTCATTTGCACACACAGCAAGGAGCAAGATGTGTCTCCTAAAACACTGGCATGAAGCCCTTCCTGTACAGCCTCTGGGTTCTAACAATCAGAAAGAGATGATGAATCCAATGGAGGTCAAGCAGTACCAGTCTCCAGAAATATTTAAAATGACTGAGGACAATTATAAAGAAAGAAAAATGTGAGCATGGAACACAACTAAAATTACACATGAGCATGGCACATATGAAGATGATGTTTTTTCTTCGTAAACAGATATCTCAGGACACACAAAAAAACACCCACCATTTACAACAGAGAATAGTGCCCTCTGCTCTTGATTGTTGGAAATCCAAAAAGAGGAGAGAGGGATAGATCTGGGAATGTTGCCCACTAAAGACAGAGGACCAGTAGCATCAATTGAAAGAATGCAGTTGTGTCCTGTGTCCTAATCAGGGGCATTTGCATTATAATATATAGACTAGGCCGGGTTCCAGCACGACTCCCATGTCAACAAAGTTGTAGATACTGGTAAATCAAGCCAATGGCAGATTGGTAAATGTGGATTAGAAATTCATGGTCTTCATCAGGCATCTCGTGTTGTAGAGGACTTTCTGTATTATAGTACATGCTGTGTGAATTTACTATAAGCCCTGTGTAAATCCAATAACTGAGTGGGTAGAAAGTTGATGTTTTCACATCTTGAGAAAAAGATAGTACTCCGTCATATAAGTAAATTTCATTCTGGCTTCAATAACTCCTCACTCTACACAAGGCTGGTATTAACTTTGAGATAGTGATTGATCTTAGTATTTAATACTATGTGTTCTGCAGGCAAGAAGTGCTTCAAATGAAAACTCTGCCAAAGGTATCTTCGAGAAGCTCCTCAAAGAAGAAAATGAACAGCGAGGAAGAAACTTGTTTCTTTTTGAGGGTGAGTCTCCCTTGTTTCACTGCTGTGTTTCTCTTGGGTGGCATCCATCTCTGCCGCTCAGATGTATCCCTGGTGTTGGCATTTTAGGAGGGAGCAGGCATGCTTATTGCACTTCTCTGTCATTTTCTGCTGGATTTTTTTCCATTTTCTCAATTCTCAACCTCTTATTTCCTGCAATTTACTTACCTCTCTAACTTTATTCTTGTATTTATTTTCTTCATCTTATGCCCTCCACATATTCTTTCCCCATCTCTTCTCTAAATTCCTGTGGTACCATTCTTACCACCTTACATTTCTCCACTTCCCATTGTTTCCTGTCTATTCTTTATCTTTCTCTTTTGCTTCTTGGGAACAGGGAATTCTGTCTGCTGAGCTTGATCATGCTCTTCAACTGAGATTGTCCTTCCTCATCAGATTACCTCAGTTGGCATTCCCACATACTGGGATCACAAGTGTATAAAGTTATGCCTACCATGTTTTAATTTTATGGAGTCACAGATGTAACTTCCCATTGTTTGTAATTTTACTGCCTCTACTGTCACTGTTGCATATTCTGAGACCACAGACTTTTGTCAACTCATATGTCTTTAAGTATCTTTATTTCAATATGCACTATTATTTTGATTCTATGCCAATAAACGTTATGGAAGATTTCTCTGTATGTGTGAAGTGTTTCACCTCATTGTGAATGATAGTACACTAAGCTCATATCTGTCATGTTTATTTAGAATCTGACTGTCTGTGCATGAAAGCATGCCTGTGCCCCAAACTTAACAAAACCTGAGGAAGTGCTTCATTAGTTTGGTCTATCTAAACAAGAGAATTTCTTGACATTCCCTATTTAATTAAAAGACTCAGAGTGACATCTCTGAGGCAAAAATTCTCATTCTTTTATCTGGTTTTGCAAGTTGTGCTTTTGTTTTTAGCATCATTTATTTACTGTGCATAAACATTTTGCCTATCTGTATGTATGACTGGTGTACCCTTATTATATAGTGTCTTAGGAAGACAGAACCTTATATCAGATCTCAAAATCTGAAATTACAGACAGTTATGAGACCCTATATGGGTCCTGGGAAGTTAGAAAGCAACATGTTCTCTTATTCTCTTAGTTTCCAAGTCCCAGTTCAAAATATTTTTGTTGCACATCCTGTGATTCAGGAAAGACTGTAGTCAATCTGTGAAATTTAACGCGTTTTGCTTTCCCCCCCATGGATTATACTTCTTTGTCCCATCTCCTCTTGTTGGTATGGTGTCTGTGTAGCTGTGCTAGGAATAATCCTAATGTATGTGTTTTCCTGTCCAATGTTCCCCAAAATATATTCAACCAGTCCTGTTATTTATCTTTAGTTCTGTATCCCTGCGAAACATTGGGCTTTGCTGTGAAACTGTCTTGCATACAGCTATTGCATTTTCCCTTATGCCATATGTGCCATATAAATATGTCCACAACACTCCTCTCCCCTGATCCTACTCTTGGTTTGCCAATGGTCCAAACTTTCCAAAAAGTGTGTATCCCAAAATTTCTATGTAGATAATAGTAATTAGAGTGCTCTTCACTTAGGATGGAAACTTTAAGGTGCAGGCAAGTAACCATAGAATATTTTAATCACAGAAACCTACCAGGCCATCGATATCTTACATGACCAAGAAAAAAAGAACATCGGGTTCCTGTCTCCAATGATCGACCAATAATCAAGACTCCTGATTAAGAACAACCACTCCCTCATCTTTTTCCAAAAAAGGACAAGAACAGACCAGTTATTGATGAATGCAAGCACATAATATGGGATTTTCAGACACTCTGGATTCCAATTTGAGGAAATGCAATAATTCCATCTCAGGCTCAGGTGTAACATCCCAAAGTTTGTTTGTTTTCCCCAAATGTGCTCCTCAGCCTAATGAGAAGACACCTGTTTTAGTGCATAACATTAAAGTCCAGACAACTATGAAACATCCTGGTATAGCTTCAATTTCCTGTGTGCACTTTGTGAGACCAAACTGTGACTGGGATTCTGTGGTCAGAATAAAAGCTCCAGGAAAGGAACTTCTCCAATTCAACAGTCAGGACAGCCGGGGTCAGCCAAAGAAACGTCGAATCAGCTCTTGCCTGAATCCCAGTATGAGAAATGTGATACATGAGTTGGGGTCTGTCCAGGAGTCCCAGACTGCTGTTAGTAAATCTGATGTCATGTTCAACAGTAGACCAACATGAGTTCAAAGAAACCTGTATCGAAGCCCAGTCTCCCAAGCCACATTCCGGATGTCTCTTCTTATCCAAGATCTATCAAATACATAACAGTCTCACAGTGCACACAGTCAGGCAGGCACAACACACCTTTAAGCTTATGAATGGACAAGAATCAATGATTGGCTACAATGACTGAGATTCCTGAAAACACCAAGTCTTTTCTCAGAACTGGTTTTATTTAGAGGACACTGAGATCTTTGACTTTATTACCATAATAAGTACTTCCTGCTGTCATCCTCCTCAGAAAATAGCGTTGAGTAGAGTCACATCAGCTTCAATATAGAATGTTCTGTTGTGAACCGAGTTGACTCCAGGACTGCGAAGAAAGTGCAGACAGTGTTAAACCGAGCATCTTGAGATAACCTTTCTTGAGAGAGCTCAAGGAGTTACCTGATCAGGAAACAGATATAAGGTGTCAAAATGAAAGAAAGAGCAGACCTTGCCTCTAGATACCAACACTCTGAAGTTTCTTGCTCTATGATAATTACATGTAATTCTTCCCTCTAAATCCTCCCCTCTCTTACCAAAATCTTGGGGATAATATATGTAGTCTCATTTAATAAATGATTCTAAACCTAATCACTGTTTTGAGATTGTAGTTTACTTGGATTGGAATATGTTCACCCAAGAATAATCTGTATTTTTGATCAGCATCTGATACCACTGAGACAAGCTACAGAAATTGTGTTCTTAGATATACATCTCTGTCCTAATTTTGTTTTAATTTCTGAAATGATGTTAGCCTGTGATACTAATATTAGCAAGAACTCACTGTTTTTCCTGGGCTGGGATGGACTGTGAGCATCTCTCCTCCCTCAACATCCTGTGTGCTACATTATGACATGGAAGATATGTCTGAGCATTACTCATATGTACACAATAATTTCTGAGAGCTCTTTGGCTCCTGTATGTAAAACAATGCTGCTCTGAACCACCTGAAATACAAAGATCAGAATATCTTCGTTAATGGATCTATGAGACCCAATCACTGCCATGAACCTGCTCTTTAATCTAAGAGCTGTGCCACAACTTTCACAGGCAATTCACCTGTCTTGAATTTAGAAGTTTGATGCAGGAGGATTGTTTGAGATATTTCTTATTGTTATAGTTTTCCTGAGGATGCAGGTCAGTTGATAGATTCTTTTTCTAACATGTAATCTTTTAATGTAGCTGGTTTCAGAGTATACCTTCAAATGTGGTTCAGGGTTACACTGTCCAGTAACTGATAGAAGCAGATGCATTGATGTATATACAGGAATTGTGCTGAGGTCTGACTTTTTTCAAAGAAATGGGAGAAGTTATTCTATATGGCATGGAGTCATGATGGTATTACATATAGACAATTGACTTTAGGTTTTGGAGATTATGGATGCTGGACCAAAAATCAGGGAAGCTGCATGTTATATCCCTAGGACCTCAGCTGCATGTGTGTGACAATTGTGTAGCATGTTCTCTTAGTAAAGTTTCTAAGATGAAAGCAGAATTTTGCGTGGCATTTAGCGGATTTTGGTCACCTGTTCCCTAGCAGGATTACCTGCTCTTGTCTTGAGGTAAGGATAGTAATTCATTCCGGCTGCAATTTCATGTGCCACATTGTGTGGGAGCCCATTGAAGGCTTTCTGAAAGAGACAGATGAGGAGTGAATGGAGATTGGCTACTTTGGAATGAGGAGCAATGGGAAGAATGGAAAAATTGTTGGTACGTAAAATAATTGTAAAAAAGGTATTCAAGTGATATAAAAAAGCCACTAAAATAAAAAGAAAGTAACAAACTTTTAGAATATTTGAAGGATAGAATTCACTAGAAGAGTGTTGGATTTACTTAACAATGAATCTCATCTATTTTTTTCCCTTTTCCCAGGTTTTTGGAACCAGACTGTCCTAACAAGGAATTCTGAACCAGGTCCTTCATGTTCCTTACTTGGGTGGAGTGTTGCAGATGTGCAGCCTGGGGTCCATTTGTGAATTTTCAGATACCAACAGGTTTTGTGTGTGCTAGAGATAATCTACCGTCTGGAGAACAGAACAGCAATTTTCTGCATAGTATTTTGTATTATTTTGTTAGAGACATACCTCCTCATAAGAAAAACTATTCTAGTTTGACTCCAGGTTATATCAAGTAAGGATTCAGTTGTGTGGTTATTTTGCTGATGTAAATTTGTTTTATCTGTTTGGACTGAAAGTTAGTATGTAGTCCCACATGGCTGAAAACTTTTTATATACTTCTCTCAGACATTGGTATATGGCCATCAAAGGCCTAAACCATAAAAATTCTTCTGGTTCAGATACGATTCTTATTTTATAGCATAGACTTTACTTTAAATCACTCTGTTGATGAATTTTCCTGATTTAGCATCTCAATGACTGATACTCATTGTGTGAGCTTCTGTGGAATCACTGTCATTTGTTTGCTTATGTTTCATAGTTTTTATTTTTATTAGACAAGATCTTCTTTGGTTCAGAATAGCTTGGATTTCACTAAGGAGCAGGTGTAGTACACACTCTTTTAGATGTCTAGTTTTGAATTGTAAAAACAAAATAAGAGTCATAAACACAGCATGGTCTTACTATAGGCATATTGTGAGGGAACGGTTAGACATGTATACACATGAAGACATCCTCAATTTATCTAGGAAGTGTATGTTGTTTCCAATGAAGGCAATACATCACACAAGCTGTAGGATGTAAAGAAATATACTAGGAAATAATTCAAACATCAGAACAAGGGAATCATTTGAACTTAACAATTT